CCTTGGAGCTTCCTCCTCCGGCTCCGAGGCCCTGCGGATCGAGATCGGAGGAGACGCGGCGCGGTAGGTTCAGGTAGGAGCTGGCCGGGATTGGCTTAACGCAGTGGTGTTCTTGAGCCTGAGAAGATGTTGAACCTAAGAGGAACTCTGAAAAGCGAAAGCAGTAGTTTTAGAGCCATTTAAAGAATAGCTCCGAGGCCCCTTCTATTTGTCTAATGAAAGATGAATGAGAGCCTTTCTTGTCTTCAAGGGGATCTGGTAGATGGCGAAACGTTAGTAAACTTTTGCAGCATAGTGTGGTAAATGCGCTAGTGGAGTGAACAAATGGGATAGTTACAAAATCAAGAAAGAAAAATGTCAATTGATGCAGTGGAGAAAAGGAATAGACTGAAAATGTAAAATCAACTTAGGGCGGTGGGAGGGTAGGGTAGGTCCGAGGGAGACCTGGGTAGTGAAGTATTAAACACCCAATACAATTTTTAGCAGATTGGGGCGGGCCTCCTGACAGTAGCTCATTCTCCTCTCTAATCAGGGTGATCTTTCCTTTTTCTAAAGAGGAGCCCCCTTCCCTGCTACTTTGGAGAGGTTTTTGCTATAGGGTGCGTCTGCTTGCCAGAAAGACAGAGAGAGACAAGAGAGACAGAAAGCGAGAAATCACCACCCAGGAGGGATGGCCACTCCATAATCCTTTCTCCATTCTCCTCTCGGGATCTTGGGCACGCATGCACACGTGCCCGGCATGAGTTTAAGCCACCAGGTCCAGGACTCAAACCACAGTCGGCTACATGGGAGTTCAGCGATATAGCCATTACGCTAACTGCTGGTTCCTTCCCTGCTACTTTGGACGTCAGGTCTGTTTCTCCAGCTTAGGACTCTGGTCCTCTCATGGAAGTAAATAGGACTATTCTTTTTTTCCTCAAGTACTTTTTATCTCTTGAATTCTTGGGTTCATTAATCTCTCTTTTTTTAAACTTTCCATTTTTTAGGGGGGAGAGGCTTTTGCCATAGGGTGCTGGCGCAAGCCAGAGAGACAGAGACAGAGAGGCAGAAAGTGAGAAATCACCCCTCTGGAGGATGGCCATGCGGCATTCCCTTCTCCATGCTCGATTTTGGGTACACACACCCACATATGCCCTTCTTGAGTTTCAAGCCACTGTGTCTGGGACTCAAACTGTGATCCGCCATGTGAGAGTCCAGTGCCTTAACCACCACATCACCTGCTGGTCCCTTCATTCTTCTTTTCTATATTGTGTATTTTGGGAGGCAGACATTTACCTGTCACCATCTAGCCCTGTCTGAAAAGTAAAGGGAGTAATTCTTACCATATATAATAGTTTTTTTTTTTTTTGGAGAGGTTTTCGCTATAGGGCGCGTGCGCTCGCCAGACAGACAGAGACATAGAGACAGAAAGCGAGAAATCACCCCCCAGGGGGGATGGTCACGTCGCAATCCCTTCTCCTCCATTCTCCTCTCGGGATCTTGGGCACGCACGTACACGCGCCCGTTGTGAGATTTAAGCCACTGGGTCCAGGACACGAACCGCGGTCGACTACGTGGGAGTCCAGCGACATAGCCATTACGCTAACTGCTGGTTCCCATATATAATAGTTTTTAAAAAGTTTGCCAGAGGGCAGGCGTGCTTGCTGGAAAGAGAGGAACAGAGGGAAAGTGAGAGAGCACCCTCTATGGGAAATGGTTATGCCTCAATCCCTTCTCCATTTTTTCCTTTTGAGATTATGGGCACACATGTGTATGTACCTGGCTAGAATTGTTTAAATGTTCAATGAAAAATTAAGTATGTATTCACCTGCTTTCTTTTTTGTTTTTAAAGAATTGTTTTATTTAACTTTATTATTATTATTTTTCAGTTTGATCAGAGAGAAACAGAGAAAGAGAGAATGGGAAAGTGAGAAAGCAAGCCACCAAGTCCAGGACGCCATGTGGGAGTCTAGCGCCTTTAACCACCATGCCACCTGCCAACCCCTGTATTTACCTGACTTCTAAATGGCACAGTCCTTGCAAGTTAGAAATCTTTGGTTATTGGGCCAGACAGATGATATGGAGGTTAAGGCATCTGGAACCCTCATGGCCAACTGTGTGGTTGAGTCCTAAATCTGGTGACTTGAAAAATGCAAGGCACATCTGTATGCATGCCCAAAATCCTGAGAGGTGGGTGGAGAAGGCACTGCGGCGTGGTCATCCCTGGAGGAGGTGCTTTCACAATTTTTCTCTCTCTCCCCCTCTCTGTCTCTCTGACAAGTATACACACTCTATAGCAAACTAAAAGTAATTTTTGTTCAGTTATTTATTTAAATTCTATTTCTATTTTATTTATTTATTTTATTTATTCATTCATTTACTTTAATTTGATCAGAGACAGACACAGACAGAGAGAGAGAGAGAGAGAGGGAAAGTGAGAAAGTAAGCCACCAGGTCAGGACTTGAACCGTGGTCGGCCATGTGGGAGTGTCCAGCACCTTAACCACCATGCCACCTGCTGGTCCCAATTTTTGGTCATTTATAATGATAGTAAATATGTGGCTCCATTGCCTTTATGCTGAGCATACCATCATATTCAGTTCATCAGTAAACTTGTTGGCTTTACTTTCAAAAAATGTCTTGACTTTGTCTGCTTCTTTGCCTCTACCCTAATGTAAGCCCCTGTCATCTCCTGCTTGAGCCACTGTAATGCCACCACCCTTCATTCCCATTGCCCCTGTAATCTGTTATCTCTTGGCACACAAGCAGAATGATTTTTGTGAAACACATAGCTCCCCACCAAACTAAGAAATGAGAATAAGGCCCATAGTTCTTAATGTGGCCCAGGCCCTGGGTAATCTGATTTCTGCTCGCCTCTGCCACACTTTGCATGCCTCTCTGTCCATCACTCGCTTTGTGAAAGCTCTACTGGACTTGGCTTGTTTTTGAAGGTGCGAGTAATTTCTAGTCTCAAGGTTTGTCTGGAACGCTCTCGGAATGACTGGTTCATTTCATCCTTTAGATCTCAACCCAAGTACCATGTCTTTAGAAAAGCCTTCTCCAAGTCATTTGTTCCCCATTAACAGAACACCCTGTTTATTTCCTTTTTAGAACTTATTTCCACTCGTAACTCTGATTTATTCTTTTACATTTGAATTTTTTTTTTGTTTAGTGCATAAGTTTCAAAAGGGTACACTTTTTGTTTCATTCTGTTTTATTTTTAGTTTCTCTGTGTGCAGGTAGGTGTGTGCTGTGTGTTTCTTTTATTATTGGAAGAGTGGGCCTTGGCGACTAACCTGATTATGTAACCCACTTAATATTGTTCATGATTGTAGTGTTATTGCCCCAGTGAGGTCCTAGGCACTCTGTGGGTATATATTAAATCTTACACATTTTCCCTTTGCTTTCTACAACTAAGCATGCACCTGATATATACTTAGCATATTTCAGATTGATTTGACATGACTTTCAGGGTATATATTCAGTCCTTTGAGAATGCCTCATATGAGGTAACTACCATGTTCTCTAGGAGAGTAGTCACTGATGTAGAGACAACTAGGGTGGACTCACCTTTCTTGTCTTAGGTTTTCAAAAGAGTTTTTATGCTGTCATTCTCAGTCTCCTGGGAGGGAGAGTGAAGATGCTTAAGGAGCGTCCAGGGATGGCGGAAGATTGTCAGCAACAAGTGGGTGTTCCTGTGGTGAAACTGGAGAAAGAGTTGCCGTGGAGCAGGGGAAGGGAAGACTCTAGTCCTGAGACTTTTCGCTTGAGGTTTCGTCAGTTCCGCTACCAGGAGGCAGCCGGACCCCAGGAAGCCCTCAGGGAGCTTCAAGAGCTCTGTCGCCAGTGGCTACGGCCAGAGCTGCACACCAAGGAGCAGATCCTGGAGCTGCTGGTGCTGGAACAGTTCCTGACCATCCTGCCCCGGGAGTTCTACGCCTGGATTCGGGAGCATGGCCTGGAGAGTGGCAAGGCCCTGGTAGCCCTGGTGGAGGACTTGACAGAGCGAGTGCCGGAGGCCAAGGCGGTGGGTGAGAAGGGGAGCTGGGTCTTGCTCTGTTGGTGGGGGAAGGGGGTTTTAAGGAGCTGAAAGGTGTGAGGAGCAGTATGAATCGATAAGGTGCAGAATCTCCCTCTGTCCCCAACTCTCTGAGGCATTTTTAGAGAGCAGTGGAGTTTTAGCCTGAAAGGCCATTTCTGGGGAAGATACCACTGTAATAGAGCCTGAAGCCTCTGTTGGTTATCATGGTAGAGGCCTGGTCATATTTTTCCTGTGAGCCTTAGGCCCAAAGAAAGCAGCTGTGATTGTGTTTAGGGCCCCTCATAGGCCCAGTCTCCCTTTGGCAGAGGAACCTGTGGGAATGCAGGAATCTCTGTGTGACTGTCCTCCCTGAAGAGTTGTCCATAGCAGAGCTGTTACCGTGTCAGGGACCTCCATGTGTAGAGCTCTCATAGTGGGTCTGTGGTGCTATTCTGATGATGCCAAGTGACTCTTATTATCACAGATCCTTCCTTGGGGTCCTGGCCATGTTTCTATCACTCTGGTATGGTCACCTCACTGATGGCTATAAGAGGAGGGCAGGGCTGATGTTGCTGTTTTGTTCACAAAGTCCCAGTCTTCTAGTAGTTCAGCCTCCCTGCTACATGCTATTACGGCTTCTCATTTTCCTTAGAACCCGAGAGAGGTTGTAGGAGCTTAAAAGTGGACCAGGAAGGGCCTTGATATTGTGAGTGCGTCTTGGTGTGAGAGTCCTTCTGATTCTCTTTGGTCATCTGGAGCATCTGCTTCTCAGTAGCTCATTCACTGCAGTCTGTGTGGGCATTTTAATGTTAAGCTTAGCCAGCTTTTACCTTCCTCTCTCCTGAAATTGGAATGGTTTTTTTCTTGGTTCTCTCTGGGTTTTAATTCTCCTCCCTTCATAACAGTTTTTCCCAGGTCTCATTCTAACCAGTGTTGGGAACCTTTCTTAGGTTTCATGCCATGTGCAGGGAGATCAGGAGGAGACAGCACTTTGCAGAGGTGCGTGGGAGCCTGGCATCCGAATGGGTCCAGTGGAGGTCAAGCCAGAGTGGGGGCTGCCCCACAGGGAAGGTGTTCAAGGCCTAGACCCCGGCACTGAGGAGCAGCTCAATCAGGATGCTGGAGACGGGACTCGAGCCTTCCAGGAGCAGGGTAAGATGCAGACAGTGAGGATGTGAGGACGTCCTCACATCTGAGTTGTGCATTGCTGCCGAGCCCCTCTCCTTGTCCTCCAGAAACCCAGCAATGGATAACTTAGTTTTAAGTTACCCGTAAAGTGTAATTCTGAATTTTCCTGGCTACTTCCTCAATCTCAGTAGGAAACAGATGAAGCGAAATTGTTTTCTTCACCCTGACTCTCTGGCTTCTGGAGAAGATATCTGGATCATGTTCTCTTCTCCTTTACCTTACATTGTTTTTAGAAAGCACCAGGAAATAGGCAGCTGACATGTGGGATTTTTTTGTATAAATGTTAGACAGTGCATGTGTATATGTCTAGGAGAGAAAGACTCAGAGAGAGAGAGAGACAGAGAGAGAGAGAGAGAAAGTACCCAACAACGGGGCCTGGTCATGTTGCAATGATTTTTCTTCCAGTTCTCCATCATGTGAAGATGCTGGGCACATGCATGCACATGTATGTGCCCTCTAGAATGTTTTTCAAGCCACTGGAGCTAGAATGCTAACCCTGGTTAGCCTTGTGGGATGTGGTTTTCTCTGCATAGCCCTTAACCCCTGAGCTAGTGAGTTGGCCCACATGTGGGGATATTTCTTAAGTGGGCAGCAAACCATGTCCTTCAGTGTAATATGTGGCCTTACTTTGTTACTAAATCTCAAAGAGAATTATTTCCAGAATATGATTAGGAGCATAAGTAGTCCCTAAGGAACAAGGCTGGGATGATGATCTCCGCGGAGAATGAGGGACAAAATCCTGTGTGGGAAGAGTGGCACCAATGCAATTCTATCTGGAGGCTCCGGGTTGTGTGCATTGGGTTGGGGATGGCTTTGAATCATCTCACTGCGAAGTAGCACTGATAATTCTCATGCATTTTGTCTTCTCTGCTTAGCATTGCCTATTCTTCAGATGGGTCCTGGCCTCCCCACAGTGAACCCCAGAGATCAAGAGATGGCAGCTGGGTTCCTGATGGCAGGATCCCAGGTGAGGTGTGATTCTGTCCTTTCAGCGCTTATGATATTACTTTAATCAAGGTTTACATTCCCCAAAGTTTCTCTGTTCTACGAATTGCTGCCTATAAAATGGAATCATTCTGCTTTCTGGTTCTGATGGTCATGACAGCATTACCACCATTCATAGTTAATTTGTGTGGAACCTTATGCCTGGACCCTAAGCCTGGACCCTGGTTAGCTTGTTGGTATTACTCTCATAATTGTGAGGAGGAAGACATTATGCATAGAAACTTCTTAGGCATATTGAGGCAGTGGTGATTGTCCCAGAGACATAATCCTTTGTGGGTGTCCTTTATGGACAAACACTGCTGCTGCTCTTTCTGCAACCCCCTGCGACTCTTCACTGTTAGGAGTGTAGCTGGCTCAGGGTGGGGCACCCAGGAGCACTGAGCAGAGTGATTTCTCTGGCCACACTGGCCACAACAGGACTTGGGCCCTGTTAGCACTTGTTAGCCTGACCAAATGGGAATAATTTTTTTAAAAGAATTACTTAATTTTATTTATCCTTATCATTTTAAATTTGAACAGAGAGGGAAAGTGAGAAAGCTAGCATTCAGGTGTGAGACTTGAACTGTGGTCAGCCATGTGAGAGTCCAGCTCAGCAGGCTGCATCTCAGGGTGTTTCCTGTGCAAGTTCAAGAAGAAAGTGGTTAGGGGAATATGTGGTTCTTGTTGAAACGCTGGACATAGCATATTATTGGAAGATGCAAACTGAATGGCCTACAAAATGAAACTGGCCATTTGCTGACCCTCAATGGGAGTAATTTAAGCATAGATGAGGGTGCTCTTGCAACAATTTAAAGTACCTTCTACTGGGTGCTGAGGCATAACCAGGCGGGTGGGGGTTTTCACTGTGGCACCTTTCGGAATCAGAGTTACTTCAGGACCAGCCTGGGGGTGTGGTTGTAAAGGCTGGATCCCACATGGCCAGCTGTGTGGTTTGAGTCCCAGACCTGTCAGCTTGAAAAAAAACAGGATGGTATGCATGTATACCCAAAATCCTTTCAGAAGAAGAGAATGGATTGTGGCATGACATTCCCCATGGGTGTGCTTTCTTTTTCTCTCTCTGTCTCTCTCTGGCAAGCATACGTGCCCTCTGGCAAAATTAAGAAAAAAAGAGTTCCTTGAAGTAGAAAAAGGGTTGTTTGGCAGAAAAAAAAGTGAGAGAAATGAGTCAAGTCTGACCTAGCTAAAAGAAGTATCTGGGCAGACTTGATGCCAGCATTTTCCCCCATGTTTTCTCTTTCTTTCTTTTCTTTTCTTTTCTTTCTTTCTTTCTTTTTTTTTTTTTTTTTTTTGAGAGAGATTTTTGCTATTGGACATGTGTGTTTATTGGAAAGAGAGAGAAAGCAAGAAATCACTCTTCAGGGGCATGGCGCTCTGGGGAGAGGGGCTGGAAGCGATCAGCAGCCAGAGCTTCTTGGTTGGGGTTCCCAGCAGGGTGTATTCGTGAAAGAAAACCATTAAGTCCCGCCCTTACACCATTTACCAAATCTCCTCCTGGGATTTTGGGCACACGTGCACACACACACTCAGCATGAGTTTCAAGCCTCCAGGTCTGGGACTTGAACTACTGTCAACTATTTGGGAGTCCAGCAATGTAACCATTATGCCATCTGCTGGTCCCTCCCATTCCTATTTTCTAAGTCTGTGTTTTAGAGAAGATGAGGAATGACTTCAGCATTTTTTAATTTGAAAAGACCTTTCTCTTCTTCTGTAATAGTGGTGCTTATTTCAGCAGCACATACACTAAAATTGGGATGATACAGAGAAGATTAGCATTAGCAAGGATGACATACAAATTTGTGAAGCATTCCACACTTTTTTGTTTTTAAAATAATTCGAGATGCTGGGTCTCCTCCGATCCCACTTAATAGCCAACTGGGTGCTGAAAACCCAGATGACAGCCACTTTTTTTTTATAAGAATGTCTTTTTTTAAAATAATTATTTTATTTAACTTTATTTATTTATTTTAATTTGACCAGAAAGGCAGGGGGGGGGAGAGAAAGTGAAAGTGAGAAAGCAAAAAAAAAGCAAGCTGCCAGGATCAGGACTTGAACCACAGTCAGCCAAGTGGGAGTACAGTGCCCTTAACCACCACACTACCTGCTGGTTCAATAACAGTCACTCTTCAAAGTCCTAAGAGGGAGCAAGGTAGAAATCAATACAAGGAACTACAAGGAAGGGGGTGCAGTTTTCTATTCTAGAACAGTTTTAGGGGAATTCAAGTGATAAAAGTCACAATTTCAGGTATTTTCATGCTCCAGCTCTGAGCTTCATGGGAGGAATTAATAGTATTATGTCCATTATAGTCTCCTTGCAAGTTTTGTCCTGAGCTCTGTTTCCTTTGGAGGGGTCTCCCCGACTCTATGGGATCCTCCCGACTCCCACACATCTTGGATTCCTTCATTTCCTCTGATTAGAGCTCAAGATGGCAAAGACAGACAAGTCTTGGTCCCTAAGCCTCCTAAATTACCCTCCCCATACTCACCTTTTCTTACCTCCTAAAAAGAAGTAGCTTGCCTGGCTTATATGGAAAGGGGCATCCATTCCCTGGTCTGAGTCATTGCCCAGAGGGGAGGGGCAAAACACCCTCTGTCTTTTTGCAACATCTCATCTCTCTGTCTCTCTTTTTTTTTTTGGAGAGGTTTTTGCTGCGGGGCACGTGCACTCACCAGAGAGACAGACAGACAGAAAGCGAGAAATCAATCCCCAGGGGGGATGGCCACACTGCAATCCCTTCTCCTCCATTCTCCTTTTGGGATCTTAGGCACGCACACACACATGCCTGGCGTGAGTTTAAGCCACCAGGTCCAGGACTCAAACTGTGGTTGACTACATGGGAGTCCAGTGACATAGCCATTACGCTAACTTCTGGTCCCATTTCTTCTTTTATTCTGCCTTTTTCCTCCCATCCTTGGTTTTTGTGCTACACTTCAGATTCCTATTTTGTGTTGAACTTGCTGCTTTTTTTCATATTGAAAAGATGACATTGCTGGAGACCAGCAGGTGGCATGGTGGTTAAGAGTGCTGGACTTCCACATGGCTGACCACAGCTCAAGTACCAAACCTGGCGGCTTTCTTTCTCACTTTATCTCTCTCTCTTTCTCTCTCTCTCACTCTGTCCCTCTCTGGTCAAATTAAAATAAACAAATAAATAAAGTTAAATAAAATAATTGTTTTTTTGGGGGGGGAGGGTTTTTTTTTGCTATAGGGCGCGTGCGCTTGCCAGACAGAGAGAGACAGAGAGACAGAAAGCGAGAAATCAGCCCCCAGAGGGGATGGCCACACCACAGTCCCTTCTCCGTTCTCCTCTCGGGATCTTGGGCACGCACGCACACACGCCCGGTGTGAGTTTTAACCCACCGGGTCTGGGAAATGAACCGTGGTCGACTACATGGGAGTCCAGCAACATAGCCATTACACTAACTGCTGGTCCCAAAATAATTGTATTTTTTAAAAAAGATGATATTGCTGTAAGAGCCAAAAATAAATGGGAATTGAAACAGAAATAAAAAAAGTTCTTCGTGGCGTAGTGAATGAGAAGATAAAAGGGAATGTATGTGCTTGTTTATGTTTCCAGAGAGCACATGCACTCATCAGAGAGAGAGGGAGAAAGCACTGCCAAATGGGTTGTGGTCTCACCGAAGCCCCTTTTCCTCCATTTCTTCTTCCTGTTAGGATTTGGGGCATGTATACGTGTACACCCAGTGTGTTTTTCAAGCCGCTCTGGCTAGGATTTGAACTGTGTGGTCAGCCATGTGGGATCAGTTCCCTTAACCACTAGGCCATGGTGCTGGCCTGTGTTAATTTTAGCATGGCATTGTTCTTTTATTTTTATTTTTTTATTACTGAGTGAATAATCTATTTAATCTGAATATCTGGTGATAAAAGTTCAGCAGTTGAATTGTAAATAATTTAAAGATATTTTTATATAAAAGTAGATATAGATTATTCTCATATACAGCACAGATTTCATTGAAAATTTTTACAGCCATATGAAGATATTTTATTTCTTTATCTCCTTCTTAAAGTATTTTTTCATAGTAAAATGATGTATTTATATTTAATTAAAATTAAAAAAAATGATTATTATGAATATATTTTTAAAACATTTGATTGCTATAACATGGCATTGTTCTTAAGACAGAGCTTGTCCAAATGTGAACATACCTCTGAGGGAAAATCACTTTGAGCTGAGGGGATAAGTAGCAGTTTCCAGGCTCTTGTCATGCTTGAGTGAGTGAAAGTGGCTGTAGATTGGAAGTGGGAGCTGGGAGCAAGCTCAGCTGCCACAGCAGACTCGAAATTATGTACTTTGCTTTTTCTTTGGAGAGGTTTTTGCTATAGGGTGCGTGCGCTCTCCAGACAGAGACAGACAGAGAGACAGAAAGAGAGAAATCACCCCCCAGGGGGATGGCCACGCCGCAATCCCTTCTCTTCCATTCTCCTCTCAGGATCTTGGGTACACACGCACACGCGCCTGGCATGAGTTTAAGCCGCCGGGTCCAGGACACAAACCGTGGTCGACTACATGGGAGTCCAGCGACATAGCCATTACACTAGCTGCTGGTTCCAACGAAATTATGCACCTTAAGCCAGGCAGTTACTTGGTCAAACCAGTGGGAGTGGGCACTTCTGCTCCCAGGACATCTGTGGCCAGGTGCTCTCTGTCTCCTTGCTCTGCTCCCTTGCACTGTCTTCTATGTTTGCTCCTGCTTGCAGGCTGCTCTTCCATAGAGTTCTGTCTTTATCCATAGCAAACTTCTCTGTTTCAGGGGTTGGGGCCATTTAAAGATATGGCCCTGGCCTTCCCTGAGGAGGAGTGGAGGCAAGTGACCCCTGCCCAGATAGACTGCTTTGGGGAGTACGTGGAACCTCAGAACTGCAGAGTCTCTCCAGGTAAGATTTGTCCCCACAGGTAAGGATTCTTGCCCGAGCCCTGTGCTGCTGAGAAAGGAAGGAGATTCTTGGCAGATAAATAATTAGATCCACAGGAGTGAGTACAGGCTAGTGAGTGTAAGAAGCTGGCTTAATGATGAATTCCTGAGTCAAGAGAAGAGCTGGGCGATAGAGCAGGAAAACAAAGGCCAGGATCCCAAATACCTATTCTGAGAGCAAGAAGAAAATAGCTAAGATGGTGCCAGCAGGGACCGTGGTGATTAAGGCACTGGATCCCACATGGCCAACTGCGGTTCAAATCCTGGACCTGATGACTTGAAACTCATGCTGGGTACATGTGTGTGTATGCCCAAAATCCCAGGGGGAGAGTGGAGGAGAAGGGATTGCAGCGTGGCCGTCCCCCATGGGAGGTGAATTTTTACTTTCACTGTCTCTCTGGCTAGCACATGTGCCCTATGGCAAAAATCTTACCAAAAAAATTATTAAAAAACAGCAGAAGTTGAAGCCTATGATTTTGTTTATTCAAAAGATATTGATAGGATGCTTCCTGTGTGCAGGCCTGATGTAGTAGCTTTGTGTTAGGGTAGGACCGAGATGCATGGAAATGATCGAGCATGCCGTGTGTGTGTGGATGTGAGATGTACATATGGGTTTAGGAATAGGAAAGATCAGTGTGGGCCCATGTGCTAGAGGAGACAGAGACGCGCTGTGCCTGATTCGAGTAATGGCCAGGTATGACCTGGGACTCGATCTAGGAGGACACGGCCATTGCACGAATGATGGCTCGTAGGAGAAGGAGCAGCCAGAGTGGGCAGAGAGCAGTGCTGAGTGAGAGCTGTGAGGGAACAACCAGGAGGAGCCTCTGCAGGGCTGGGGATTATTGAGTGAAAAGCAATGTGGAGAATCAGCGAAGGAGTGAGAACAGGGAGAGGAAACAGATGTGGTTGGGAACGGCCCTCTCCTCATTCCCCTCTGATGCTCTTTCGTTTCATCACTTCTGTATAAGTTGGGTACTGACCACCCTCCTGTACCGACACCAGCTGGCTGTTTCTTATTCTGAAATGCTTTGTGAGATGAGCAAGAGTGTCACAATGCTTCCTTCAGGACATGTGGCTCCACTGCTTACTAACTGTGACCTGGGGCATCTTCTGAAGTCTGTTTTCTTTTTATTTTTAAAGAATTATTTAATTTTATTTATTCACTCTTTTTTTCTTTTTGACCAGAGAGAGAGGGAAAGTGAGAAAGCAAGCCATGAGGTCCAGGACTCGAACCGTGGTTGGTCAGTCATATGGGAGTGTCCCGTGCCTTAACCACCACGCCACCTGCTGGTCCCTCTGAAGTCTATTTTCTCAGTTGTGACATGGGGCTGTTCTAGAACATAGTCATGTGGCCTTGTGAGGACGAAGTGAGCTAATAAATCTATGTGTCAGATGTGGTTATGTCCGATATTTTTACTAGTTGTTCCTTGTATTATTTATTTATATTTTTTGGAGAGGTTTTTGCTATAAGGTGTGTGCGCGTGCTAGAAAGACAGAGATAGACAGAAAGTGAGAAATCACTCCCAAAGGGGATGGCTACGCCGCAATCCCTTCTCCTCCATTCTCCTCTCGGGATCTTGGGCATGCACACACATGTGCCTGGCATCAAGTTTAAGCCACCGGGTCTGGGACTTGAACCACGTTTGACCACGGAGTCCAGCGACATAAGTGTTACGCCAACTGCTGGTCCTGCTCCTTGTATTATTAAGTGTCTTTTGTGAGTCAGTCAGCAGTAAATTATTTATTCACCCACAAAGATTTATTTGGCGTCTTCTTTCTTTCTTCCTTTTTTTCTTTTCTTTTCTTTTAGTTTTGCTACAGGGTGCGTGTGCTCACTGGAGAGAGACAGAGACAGAGATGGGGGAAGTGAGAAATCAGCCCCCTGGAGGAATGGCCATGCTGCAGTCCCTTCTATATTCTCCTCTTAGGATTTTGGACACTCATGCACACACGCTGGCATGATTTTTAAGCTATCAGCTCTAGAACTTGAACTGCATAGTCAGCCATGTGGGATCCAGCTGCCATAACCTCTAAGCCACCTGCTGACCCTCTTTGGCACTTTGTGTGTGGCCAGCACTCTGCTAGTCATCAGGAAGAATTAATAATAATAATGCTTGCCTCCAGGGTCTAACAATTTGGGTGAAGAGGCCAAGTGTATGAAAAGACATTCATTAGGGATAGAGTAAGGGCATAGACTGTGGTCTGGGAGATCTTGGTCCAGGGAAAGGTTGTCACACCATGACAGTGACATGAGTGACCAAAAGATGCCAGGATATCTTACATAGAGATGTATGTTTGCTGTAATGGCAAAGGATGTGGAAACCCTCAGAGGTGACTGTACAAAGTAGGAGCACAGGAGGTACCAGGGCCCCAGCACTATGGTTCCTCCCAGGGATGTATCTCTGCTTATGTCACTGTATGGAGTCAGGATTCTGCCCTCACGTTCTCAGAGGCCTTTCATAATCTCTTGGCCATTTCTGACTGTTCTGGACTCTGGTTATATGCTCTCATCAAGTCAGTGTTTCAAAACAACCCAAGCTCATCCCTAAGCATTTCTCCAGAGGCTGGAGAACCTGAAAGCCCATTTCCCAAGTGTTCCATCTGCTCAATATCTCAGCCTTGAGGTCTTCCTGAGATTCACTCCCATGTCCTATCAACTCTTGTGTAGAGAGCTGTGTGGGCATGGGCCTGAGTGCTTCATTTACAAAGAGGACAGGAGTCTGGGGGAAGTATTGGACTAGGGAGTTTCTCAGATCTCTTCCTGTTCTTGGTTCATCCTCATTGGAGAATGACTGCTAATAACCTTGTGATCTGGATTATAATTGCAGTAGTGGCAATGGATAGAATGGAGATGTACAACTGAAGCAGGAATTTGGAAGATGATTGCAGTAGCAGAGGCAAAGAGTAGTATGTGCACACACCTGAATGTAGGAATTGCTGGTTTATGCACAGGATGGTGAGAGCCCTGGGGTAAAATATGAGTGAGAAGGAGACTAGGGGAAGTAGAGTGAGACCAGCCATGAGAACTGTGGGCTCTTCTTTTAAAAATGTTTAGCACAGAGTAATGTGATTAAAGTTTTTCTTGAGAGACATTGAATTTATGGCAGGGTAAAGTCAGTTTGAGGGTTGAAGTAATGTAGGCACAAGGATAAGAGCAGGAGCCAGGATGGTGGCCATGCAGTAGGGGTTAACTAAACATGTTTCTAGGGATTGATTACGGGTTAGCTATGGGAGAGGAAAGAGGAGGTGAGTCAAAGATGAGTTTATGATCCCAGCCAGTAGCAGGAAAAATGATATTGCTAATCTCAGAAAGGGAGGGAAACGTTTTCTTAAAAGGAAGAGTGACAAATTTCATTTACTGAGTTTGAGAGCCAACTGGAGGGTTCCTGCAAGTAGCTAAAAATGCAGTACCTTGTCTGAGAGCTAAAACAATACCCCTTACCATCGCATGCTTGCTTTGTGCATACAGCAACCTTCATGAGGTTTCAAAGAAGAAAAGAAAGACTCAGAGAGGTTGATTTTTCCGTAATCACAGAGCAGTAAAGTAGCCAGTATTCAAAACCAAATCTCTGACTGCTAGGTCCATTCTCTTTCCACTAATGCATTCCACTAATTCAAACGTACAAAAAAGCTAAGACTAGTACAGTGAACACACACTTTCATCTAGAGTCAACAGTTGTTAGCATTTGCCATGGTTTATCTGTAACGTGTGTTTTGGGAATGATTTGGAAGTTGGAAAGATCTTGATCTTTCACTCCAAATTCTTCAGGATGCATCTACTAACATTGACATTCCCAACATTACCCAGTATCATAATTCTACCTAGGAAAATAAACATAAGGTGCATATAATATATATACACACACACCCCTACACCCACCCACACATAATGCATATTCAGATTTCCTTAGGATCTAGTTAAGGTTCATGCATTGCATTTAGGTTTTTTAAAATTTAATTGAATTGAATTTATTTATTGTTAATCTTTTATTTGACCAGAGAAAGAGAAAGGGAGAATGATAAAGCAAACCACTAGGTCCAGGACTCGAACCACAGTCAACTATGTGGGAGTCCAGTTACCCAACCACCTGCCTGTCCCTTGCATTTAGTTTAATGTGCAGTTTTAATTTTGCTTATAACACCTCAAAATTGAAAACTACCCAAATATAAGTCACATGAATAGATTGTGATATAGGCTTGCAGTGAAATACTATATGCCAGTGAAAAAGAACAAATTACAGCTGTATAACACAACATGGGTGAATCTCACGCATGCACACATGCCTGGTGTAAGTTTCAAGCCTCTGGGTCTGGAACTTGAACTGCAGTCAACCCTGTGGGAGTCCATGCCTTAACCACTACATCACCTGCTGGACTCTCTCCTCCCTTTCCCTTTATGCTTCTATACATAATTTCTGTTAATTCAGAGAAAATAAAGGAGTGATCAGAGCGAGGAGGGAGGGGTCAAGCTGGAGCACTTCAGTCCTGGTAAACCTGCTAATATAGAGGCATCTGCTACAACAGCTTCAGAGACAAGCCAGGCCTGTTCATTCAGCCATCAGTTAACAAGCTTCTTTCTTGAGTCAGTTTCCTGCCTGCCAGGCTTTCAGGGGACCCAGATTACTGGACCCTGGATAGGTGGAGAGAAGAAGGGCGAGCAGGGACAGGGAGCTGAGCAAGTGCGTGGACCCCTTAGAAGCAAAGTTCTAATGTACACATTTCCTTTCATGACTACCACAGAATCACTTTTTTCCCCACTTTTCTCCTGTAGGTGTGGGGAGCAAGGAAAAGGAGGCAAAGCCCCACCAGGAAGATCTTAAAGGGGCATTTGCTGGACTGACTTCAGAGAGGTTTGGGGAGGCCATCCTCCAGGGCCCTGGGCTTGGAAGAGCCTGTGAGCAGGAGCCCGGGGAATCTGGGGGCAGTGTGCCAGGGCTTCCTCCTCCCCAGCATGGTGCCATTTCAGTGCCAGATGACCTCAAAACCCGTAGCTCCTTCTGGAAGCCTTTCCAGTGCCCTGAGTGTGGGAAAGGCTTTAGTCGGAGCTCCAATCTTGTCCGACACCAGCGAACCCACGAAGAGGAGAAAGCCTATGGCTGCGTTGAGTGTGGGAAGGGCTTCACCCTGAGAGAGTACCTCATGAAGCACCAGAGAACCCACCTGGGAAAGCGACCTTATGTGTGCAGCGAGTGCTGGAAAACCTTCAGCCAGAGACACCACTTGGAGGTCCACCAGCGGAGCCACACGGGGGAGAAGCCTTATAAGTGTGGGGACTGCTGGAAGAGCTTCAGCCGGAGGCAGCACCTGCAGGTGCACCGACGGATGCACACAGGGGAGAAGCCCTACACATGCGAGTGTG